CCCCGCCCTCCCCCCCTCCACCAAATCCCTCCACAGTCCAATTTGGAAGGACCCAACGTGCTCTAAAACCCCCTCTTTTTTTTTTTTTCCTGCCCCCCTCTCCCCCCTCCACCATTCTCTCCTTTTTTTCCACCTCTCCAGCTCAGGTCCCCGACGATGAGCAGTTCGTCCCCGATTTCCAGGCTGACAACTGTAAGTGCCCGGCGCCCGGAGGGGATTTTTGTCGTCCTCCGCGCGTGGGGGGGTGTTCAGCGACGCGTGTGCCCGGGGCTGGAGCTGCCGCCCCAGGGAGGGCGCTGCTAACGGGGCTGCAACACTCACAGGGTTTGGGGAAAACACAGTTTTATCACCCCCCTTTTTTTCGGGGCAGGGGGGTGGTTTAAACTTATAGCCCCCCTCTTTCACCACCAGGAAGCCATAGCCCAGCACGGGGCAGCAGTTTGGGCCCCTCTCCAGGCTCCTTGGGGACCTGTCGCCGCTCGCACGGGCACCTTCCCGAGCGGGCTCGGTGGTTACCCGCAATCCCTGCAGCTCCCCGGGCTTTTGTTTTTTTATTTCTTTCTCCCCCTCCTTTTTGCAGCCCAGCGCTCTTGGCAAGAGCCGACTGGAGCGGTGAAACTTGAGCTGCTTTAAGCAGCATTAATCACTGGCAAACGAGCGTATTTAAAAGGAAGCCAGTGAAAACGCGCTCCCTCTCCAATTGCATAAGAGCAGCGGCCGAGTTGGCGCGTGGCCGCGTGGGGCTCTTAGTGCCCCGGCGCATCCAGGAGCATCCCCGGCCGAGCGGGGCGTTTTTGGGTCGCGCTTTGGGCTCGCTGGCCAGCGGGGGCGACTGCAGAAGCAGACGGTGCCAGGACTTGAAGGCAGCCGAATTTTGCCGGCGGTCGAACGCTTCGTTCTTCCGTTCCGGCTCTGTCGGAGCACGCAGCGCGGGATCTCTTACCCTCCCCTAGCTGCGTGCTAATTATTGCTCTTTGATTACTTCTAAGCGAGCGGGAAGCCGGCCCTTAAGCTGCAGCCGATGACCCAAGCTTCAGCTGCCTTTTGAATCTAATTTATTATATATGTGATTTCTGACACTTTTGCACACCCCTTTCTCCCCCGAGATAAAAGGCGAGCCCGAAGCCGGCAGCACAACCCGCTGTTGACATCCTAGCACGGCCCCGGAGCCGTATAAACTGCAGCGTGCGTGGGAGGGCGGCTCTTGGAGCCGGAGCCGTTTCCAGTGCCTTTTGGCAGTCTCTGGTTTCCTTGTAACCTGAAGAGCTCCAGGCGGGGAGAGAGGGACTTTTTCTGGGCTATTGCAGAGGGGAGAAAGAAGTGGGGGGGAAAGGGTATTTGGGGCTTTAAATGCATTTCCACCCTCCTGTGCCTCTGCAGACCCCAAATTGTTGGGGTTGTGGTGACTTTGTTGCTTGAAAGGAGCTTTCCTCACTGCTAAACTTTCCTGGGGTGGGGGGGTGGTTAATGTGGCCCTTGCTGTTGAGCAGGGGACCAGAAATAAGGAGAAGTGTCCCCTAAACCCCCTCCCTGGCACTTTGTTAGCGGGACCTCCTCACCTCGCCGTAGAGACATGCAGGAATTTGGGGTTCGCTGTGGCCCCTTCATGTTTTGGGGGGGATTTGGCTGTCAGGCTCAAGCGCTCGGACACGTTTCCTGTTGCCTCTCGGACGCGGGAGCTCTGGAGGGTGAATTTGTTCCCAGGGATTTCAGTCTTTTTCCCTCGGTTCACGGCGAAGCCGATGGGTAGTGCGGGGAGCAGGTTATCCCCGGCCTCGAATTATTATTATTTTTGTTTTAAATAAGGTTCGTTTCCGGCGGAGGGTTGTTTGAACAAAGGGAGGCAGCGGCCCGGGCGTCTATTTCTGGCCCCGTCCCCCGGTGTGACCTTGGGCGCGTCCTGCAGCCTCCGTGCCCGGCCGAGGGGGTGGCGGCAGGGCCAGGGTCACTCGCAGGTGCCCGGCCGCTCCAGCGGCTGCCAAGGGCCCGGCTCGTGGCCGTGGTGGCTCGGTGGCCCGATGGGCTCCCGGTGTGGTCGCGAATGGGGGCAATGCCCATCGGTGGCTTCTAATCGCGGTGCAGGGCAGGGAAAGGGTGGAAGCGCCGTGTGTGCCCAGCGCAGCGGCAGCCTGGGGAGCTGTTTTGCACTGGGGTCCCTGCAAATAAACGGGTGCTGCTGGGCCTGGCTTTGAGGCAGGGGGCTGGAGGCCGAGGAGACGGAGCGGGGCAGGGAATCGATGCCCTCCCCACCCAGCCCTGCTTCATTTTCTCCCTTCCCTCCTCCATGAAGGGCGCTGCGGCCACCAGCCGCTTTGCACAACCACCTCGGGGTGTTTTTTTTTTTTTTTCTTTTCTTTCTTTTTTTGTGAATGAACTTGGAGAAAAGGCCCAGCCTCCGAAAAACAGCGCAGGCCCCGCGAGCGGCCGCCCGGGCGCACGTCCCTTGTCTCAAACAGCGTCGCTGAGCCCTTAGGGAGCGCGGGGGGAAGGATAAATATATATGAATTATATAAATACATATTCCTCCCCCTGGCGCGTGAATGGAGCCGCCCTGGTTGTTTGTGAATGGAGGGCGGCGCCCGCTCGCGGCTGCTGCTTTTTTTTCTCAATGAACACCCAACCCCCAGCGCGTGGCCGGTGCAAAACCAGCCCTGCCGCTCCGCTCCGCTCCGAGGAGCGAGCGGAGCTGGAGCCCGTCCAAAGCGCCTTCTCCTCCACGGCCGCGTTAGCACTAGAAACGCTCGAGGTGGCAGGGAGTTATCGGTGGGGGGAAAAACAGGGCTCCCTTGGAGCTTGCGAGGCCGGCGAGCGTCTGCTCGCTTGCGCCAGGGAGGAACCAGCAGCTCCTTAAAGCTCTTGGCGAATTAAGGGAGCTGCTGATGAGCTGTTGAGCCTCTGGGCCGGGCCCGGAGTGGTTCCCTTCACCCCGCGTTGAGCTGGGCCGTGCTTGGACTTTGCGCCCGCTCTGCCGTGGCCCGGGCACTGCTTAAGGTGAACGTCTCTGACGCACTTTCGCTTTCCTCGAGCGTCCGTTCCTAGAAGTCGATTAGGCTAAGCGTATATTAGTTGGTTTAAAGATTATATATAGCGAGCGGGCCCGGTGGGGCTGAGCAGGATTGGGGTTTAGTGGGATGTTTGCTGTGCGGCCTTGGAAAATCGGGGCTCTGCAGCCCCCATCGCTGCCCAGTCCCTTGAGCTCCAGGGCTGTTTCTCTGATGCTGTCGAGTTTTTGGCGATCCTGCCCTGCTTTGGTGGCCTGATGGCCTTGAGCAGAGCCTGACCTCAGGGACACGAAGGGACTTTGTGTCCCCCACTGTAGGGGCAGCGCTGGCCCTTGGTGCTTCTTGCTTTTCCCTCGCCACAAGGTCTGGCTGGTGTCAATGGCACCCAGAAATGAGGTGGCCGTCCTGGCCCCCACCAAGGTTAACGTGGCCTCAGGATTTGGGTGCCGAGAGCACCCTGGGTAGATGCCACCCTGGATAGCATCAACCATGGCCATCCCCTGTGGCAATGGAGCCAAGGTCACTGGGTGCCTGTATCATCCTCCTCCTCCCCTTTCTCTCTGCAGTGGTCCTGCATGCCCCACCGCCGGCAAAGATCAAGCGGGAGCTGCACAGCCCTTCCTGCGAGCTGTCGTCCTGTAGCCACGAGCAGGCCCTCTGCGCTAACTATGGAGACAAGTGCCTCTACAACTGCTGGTGGGTCGCGCGGGGCGGCCCACGGCGCTCTTGGGCACCCCTCCGGCTCCGCGGCGGGCGGCAGCACGTGGGTGCTGGCGGCCCCGGAGCGCTCGGTGCCCGGGTTCGGCTCTGGGATGAAGCACACGGTGCTGCAGAACCACCCGGGGATGTTCGGGGCTGCTGGGCTTGGAGGGGTTGCGCTGGTGCCCCCAGCTCTGGGAGCGCGGAGGG